TTGTACCCCCAAAAGACAAGAAAGAAAGAAAGAAACAAACAAACAAAGGTAGTAGTCCTTACTCCTTAGAATTTGCAAGCCTCACAATTTGAGGGCACTTAATTTCTCACTAGCATTATACAGCCTCCAATTAGGGCAATAGCACCTAATTTCTCACTATCATCAACTACAGTCTCCCCACTAACACCTAACTTCTCTTTATGTGGTTGTTATGCTGATGCCGGGGACATTTACTGTTTGCTTACTAATATTGTTGAATCGTCCTCTCTCACATTTTCAATTATTATATGGATACAACAATATTTTTATAAAAATAAAAAATAAAACGCATTTGGTTCAATATTGATGAATACAAATCGGAATTCAACAATATACGAACGTAGTATGTAAGAAACTTGGATATAGGCATCTCCGTCTAGGGACCGGGAAGATAATTGAGAAACGAAGATTTGGAATAAATTAGGAATTGAGATTAGGGAAAGAATGAAGGGATTTGGAAGAGGATTGAAGAAGAAGGATTCGGTTCCAAGGGGAGAGAGATTAGGTTTAGAAAATTCTTGTTTTGTAATTGGTTAATCAAAAATGAATAACAAATTATATAACCCGATAAATTCCCACTAACTACCCCCAAACTATTACTTCCTAGTAAAAACATCCAAATAATCCCAAAAATCCCCCCAAGACAACATCCAAAGTCCCAAAACGCAAATAGACTAAGAAACTGGTCCAAATACTGAAACGACTCCAAAACTAGATTTCTAACATCGTCACGCTCACACCGACACCTACCACGATTGCTAACGTTTTGGCCTTCCACATTACAAACCAGGAAAAGAAAGAGAGATCTGAATTATTGATATTAGATTCAATCAAGCCTTCTTGCTGTCTGCCAAAAGGATGGCTAGTGGAGAGGAAGCACAGTGTAGATGTGGAATTTGGGGTTATGCTTCTGTTTGCTTGTGAGCAGTTTTGTAGGGTATGGCCATGAATGATCATGATCAACCCCTTTCTTTTCTTTTCTTTTCTTTTCAGGGTTTGGTCTGAAAAGGCTTTGGGCCATAGTGCGTGTGTAAAAGAAGAGAAACATGAAGGTGTGGGAGAGGGTTTGCTGCTGTAGACTGTAGTAGCAATGGAAAAGCAAAGTGGGGAAGAAGAAGAAGGAGAAGAGATCCAAATTGATTGCCCCCACATAATTCTGTCACTACTCTCACTCAGTCTCCAACTGCCAAAAAGGAAAAGGGTGAAAAAGGGGGCCAATGGCTCAGCATTCTTCATGACTCATCCTCCATGTGGTGTTTGCAGGTCTTGTTCTCTGATCCCCTTCTCTTCAATAATCTCAATCGCATGCTCACCTTTGGATGTTACCTTTTTAGGTTGCTCCTAGTCCGACTAATGATTAGGATAATAAGGGTTTGTTGTGAAAGGCAAACACAATAGTCATGAGTAAGGGAATGTGTGTGGTAGTGGCGTGGATCTAAAATGTACTTATTTAGATCACTGAAAGGATAGATCAAGATAGGACCGGATTAAAATTGAAGGGGGGAAAATGGCGAGAATTAGAACGAGATGAAAAAAAAGTAAAGACCATCTTAATCGCATTCCTAATAGGATAAGAGAACAATTAGACATCGTCGACCCCAAACCTTAGAAAGGTAACTAACCAATAATGTTGACTAATGAGTAATGAAATTTTCAATAATTACTAGGATAAGAGAACAATTAGTCTATCGAATGATAACTAACTGACTCCAAAATGTTTATTATCCGGCCTCCCAATGCTTATTGACCATATTGTAGTTATTGCTAATCAGCAACCACCATTAGGAGAGAAAATGGGTTGAAATCGACTCATGTACACCCCTAACCACAATAGCCCCCAACACCACGCGGCAACTCCTACAACTTTTCAGGTGGAGATCTCATTTCTCCCGGTTACCGTTTGACTCAACCAAAAAGGAGCCAAATGATAACTTCCTAAAACACTCAGTACAGATAGGATCATTTAGCTTGCTAACCCTTCTAAGGGGTTGGAAAAATGACACCCTCTATTGATTATAATATTTTCTGTATTAAATTCGTGTTGCATTAATAATTTTTAGAAATTAAAAAACTAATATTAATTTTATTTCTTTTTTTTTAACTACCATTTCACTGATACAATTATCATTGCATCTGTACACTGAACTCGTATTAATTACATTCCTTTTTTAGAACTACCATTGCACTTATACAACTACCATTTCACATGTACACAAATATCATTGTACTGGTACGACTACCATTGCACTAAAAAAGAAAAGTAATTAATATGGATTTGTAATTCTTACATATTATTAAATGCAACAAAAATTAATTACCTTAAAATCATATAATTAATAGAGAGTGTCATTTTTCCAACCCCTTTAATGGTAGTCATGCTATCTCACCCGTGTACAGGCTAACTTATTGGATGCGAATTCTAAAATAAACATATTAATATAAAGCGACAACTAACTTATAGAATTAAAGTCACCTCAACCTATTCCTAAACTTGGATTTTATTATGTCTGCTCCACTTTGTATTCGACATGCTTATCCTTTATATTTGTATTTTTTTAAGAAATCTAATGATATTTTGATTTTTTTTATGAATTTAATAATTGTAGTCGAATTGAATATATACATCGAATCCATTTGATCGAACTAAAGCGTAAGTTTTGTCCAATTCGATTTAGTGTCGATCAAATCTCTCACCGCCTGATTCCAGAAGCAAGGTACTGTTGCTAAATAAGTAAATATAAATGAACTAGACTTGATTCTCTTTACAATTCAAACCTATTGAATTCATAATGACAAGAGAACTTTGTGCCGCAAGCAAATGATCCATATTATATACTTCAACGCCGGTCAATTTTTTTTTTTTTGTTTAGTATCTTTTGAAGCAAACATCACATGTGTGATATTAAGTAGCTTGATGTACACTATATCATAGGCCACTAAATTGATTTAGAAGATCTGTCCCAAAAAGAATTCACAATTCACATTGAAGGTTTTAGCTGTATGGAACGAAGGGTTGCTCCTCTTCAACGGGCTTCAGGTTTGGCCCAAATAAAGGTAACTTGAAGGGAATCTGCTATCTTTAAGGAGAAAAGTGGGCTTAGGCCCGCGTTTTTACCCGGCCCAAAATTGGACCTGTAGACGACTAGATCATTTATGTTTTAGCTTGATCATATATGTAAGTGCTTGATATCCAACGTTGTCAACCCGCGCGGTCGACCATTCTAGCCCGGTGAGAAAAATAGACCGCACATATTCGTTGGATCGACTGCTACAAGGTATCGGATTGGAGATCAAATTGTGTCATTTAATTTTTTGGTTTGCGAAATGCGTCTATTTCTCGATTTTTCTTTTTCGCCTAACTCAATATTTGGAATCTTTAGTTGAACATTTGAATATTAATGTTATATAAGTGTGTGAATTTTCACTATACGTTGGATCTAAGTACGACTTGTTACTTTGGTGTAATATTATATGTTATTAATCATATGTTAGATGAGATTTTATATAATTTATCAGGATAAGTACAATGTAATGACTCTTTCCACATTTCCGGACAAAAACGGGTGACCCGTTAACCCTTGACCCACTAGCTTGACCGGGTCCAGGTCAACCCGATGGTTGACAACCTTGATCATATCCTACCCAAAAAAAAAGTGCTTGATCATATGTTTGAACTTTGAATCAAGGCTTGGGAACCTATATAAAATTGAGATGCAAATTTATTTCAAACTATTACAATTAATTTTGTCTCTGAAAATCCGTATGTTTTATTTGAAAATTCATAAATTCATAAATGTGTTTACTTTTTATTATATTTTTTCATTGGTTTTCAATTCTGAAAACAAAAAGTGATAGCTCCCTAATGTTTTTAGAAACAAATATTTTTTAGTTTTCAAAAATTTGCTTTCCTGATTTTTAGTTTAAAAATGTTACCAGAAATTTAAACACCTATCAGATCTATTTTTGCATTCTCCTTTTATTTTAATACTTTCTCATTTTTCATCAGGTACCTCATTAAAATTTTGTTTATTTTTATCTCAAACAATCGACCACCATTCAGATTTTATTTTTCAGTTTTTCAGATTTCATTACTCGGAACTCAACATCTTCATTTTCTTTAAAATTGTTTTCTTTTATCACAACCAGAAGAAACGAAATTGAACAGGGGTTAACCTTTGAACTTATATAACAAGGTTAATTTTTGTATTGGCAAGTTCTGCAATATTTGAAATTCATTTTAATCATACCTATACTAAGTTTGATGAACAAAACCCTAAACCCAAGGCTAGGGATTGCAATGGACAGGGATTGATGGGTTGGATTTTGTCAAATTCAAACCCAAACTCATGGATATATCCACTAAAAATTCGAGATAAAACTCAATGGGTTTGAAAAATTCAAACTCAATCCAATCTGCTAGGTATCTGCGGGTTCATGGATACTCACGGGTTCTATAAATGTACAATAACTTCATATCAATCTTCCCATACAAATTGTTCGTAGAAAAAACACCAGTCTAGAGCATACAAGCAAACCACAAACTATCCATACAAATTGTTTAACATTAAAGATAAACATCTATAAACAACATAATTAATTGAAAACTTCTCTCTTTGTCAACTGAACTTCTTCACTCTACATTCCATAATATCAACTTCATTCAATACAATTATGAAGAACAAATCAAACGGGTACGGGTTGGAACGGATTGGATATGGCTAAACCCAAACCCAACCCGCAACATAATAGAACGGGTTTAAACCCGAACTCGACCCGTAATCCGTCTACACAAATTTTATCCGCTTTGACCGGATTGGATAGAGTAGGGTCTCCGTGCATAGGATTTTATTGTCACCCCCTACCCAAGGCACGTTACACTGAATTCTGCTCAGGATGACTAATCATGCAAGAACTGAGCATTCATATTAGCCTTATTTTTCAAACGGGCTATTTGGTACACAAGGCTTCTATAATCTATACTTGGGGCATAGAGAAACTAACCCATAGCACGTTCTAAATATTTGATTGAAGGCAGAAACAAAACCTTTGAAACCTATATTACAAGAAGATAGTTTTACTACTTTATGACGAACTTATGAGAACCTACAGAGGATTGCTTGCATCTTATTATACACAACCAACTTTCTAAAAGAACCAAAGAACAACAATAATGGACATTCTACTACAGGCTACTAAGACTACCAAGTGTGGTCTTCCCTTTTCTCTCTCTCAACAAGATTTTGATAGAGAATTTGCCCTTTCTTCTTCTTCTTCTTCCTCCAATTCATCATCATCATCATCATCATTTCATTTGAGGGGGAGTAAGAGAAGGAAAAGAAGGTATGGACTGCAATATCAGCTTCTTCCTGCCACTCCTACGCCCAGGAGATGTTGAGGAAGCTGAAGTTGAAGTTCCCAAGTTATTGTGGTGTGGTGGAGATACCCTCTTGCTGTTTGGTGAAGAAGATACCTTGATTCCCATACCAGGCGAGAAGCTGCTGCCTCTCAGGATTTCTGGGATATCATCATCACAAATCCCCTGAAACGGTCTGTTTTCAAGCTTGGATTGAGTTTTGAAGATGCTCGGTTTCCCGAAGTTGTGGGTCTGGTATAATCCATTGGATGATGATGATCCAATTCCAAGAAGCGACCTTGGTGGTTTGATGATAGCTGATGAAGAATATGGTATCTGAACCAAAGTTCTGGTGGCAAGTGGACAGGAAAATAAAGGGGGAAACGATCAGTAACAGAATGAAAATGGTGGGAGTTGGAAGGGAAAATCATTAGTAGTTCAGAGAAGTAAGAACCTGGAAAACTGCAACGGAGTTGCAGGGAGACCTGAGTTCATGTTTTGCTCTTCAATGGTCTGGTTATCGTTCTGCTTTGCTGAAATTTCTAATGCATTCTTCTCATTGGCTTCTGTATCATCTTCTGGCTCGGTTTCTGTTTCTGGTAAAACAGAACCTGGTCCAAGTAAAATGCATATAGAACTGTTAGAACATGACTTGTTGTAATGAAGACTTGAAGAGGGTTGTAATCAGTTTTAACTAGTTCCAGGAAGAAACAGAAAGTGCATCTCACCATCTTTTCTGCCAAATGCATTCTTGCAGCCTTCACACCGGCAGTTAATGGAGCAGCCAACTCCACCCTTCATGATATTAAAAAATAATTTACAGCAAATCAGTATTGTAACGAAGGCAATCAATCCCAGGCACATGAAACATGTCAAGAAGAAGCCAGAAAGTACCTGGTAGCATTCACAGTATTTTTTCAGACAACTTGATTTCTTGCAGTTGCATCCTCTCTTGTGTCGAGCTGAGGCAGGTGTTTTAGTGGACTCGTCCTGTGTTTAAGTTAACAAACACTCTGGTTTTGAGAAACTGGAACCCGGATTAAGAAAAGAGATGAAAGGTGTATCAACAGCTGCTTTACCCCAATTTCATGTCCTGGTTCAGAGGTCCTAATCACTTTAGGAGCAAATGCAAGTGGGTTGCGAGACTCAATCTGCTTACGAGTTGACAAAACTGTATCTTCATGAATGGGCTTATTGAAGCAATCTTGACAAGAACATGGTTCAATGCAATAGACCCCAGCAGCAAAACATTCACAGTAGCTGCACACATAAATAGGAGAACGGGGAGGTGAGATCTCTACAACATCATCGATGCTAATTCAACCAAGCTACATTATAGAGGTATTGACAACTTACAGCTTCAAACACTTGGACTTCTTGCAGTTACAGCGCTTACATGCCTCAGGTTCGCCTTCCACCTTGCGCCTATGACAAGGCAAAACATACAAGGTAGAACTAATCACAAACAGGACTTTTGGTTGGGTGTATTTTGACAGACTGATGTTTGCAATAACATGCAATTGAGCAAATATTCCGTTAGGGAATAATAACGCAACTTGAAGGAACATACCTTTTCTTTTTGGGACTACCAGGTCCAAACTGTTCATTAACCAAATAAGCAGATGCAGGAGAGACATCCTCAGCAAGTGCCACATCATTCTCAGTGGGATCCAAGCCCCTTTCCATGGAGGCTAAAGTCAATGATTCAAGAAACTCTTGAGCAGTTGTTGGAGAGTGGAAGGAGTCATCAGAACTCGGCAAACTTGGTCCAGAGGACAAAGCCTCATTGACACTGTTTCTTCTGTTATTGGAACTTATTGCCAGGGAATTCAAGTGCAAACCAATTCCAGGTACAATGATTTTTGAGGAATCACTGCTAGGGTTGAAAGGGACCAGTTGCTTATTATCTTCAGAAGCTATCTTCTCTTCTATTTGCTCCTGTGTAGCCATTGGGTTCTTCCTACGAGTTCCTACCATTTCAAAATCAAGACAGCGCCTTCTCATGCCACGATAAAGATTCGAAGCAGCAGCAGCAGCAGCAGCCTGCAAAATCACACAACAACTCTATCATCCAGTCAACATTTCAAACATATTGGAACTAAAATGAATTTTAAAGTGGACATATTTCACCTCACTATTGCTAGACATGCCATTATTTTTATTATCTTCCTTCACCAAAATAGTTTCTCCTGGTTGAGTAGAAGGCCCTTCCATCTCCTGCTGGCCAACTGAATCATCAGCAGGAATGTGCAAATCAGTCAAGGAGGCAGAAAAGACTGCATTAGGGCCTAATTGTTTCTGCATTAGCCCTTTATAAGCCTCGGTGTCAGCAGGGGAGTTGAAGATCAAGAGATCAGCAGCATCTATCAAACTATCCCAATCGCATTCAGCAGCACCATCATTACTTTGCTGCCGAGTCGGGTATGCCTCCAAGCCTCGAGGCTCGCTCTTTTGTGAAGCTTCACTTGTAAACTGACCACCTGATTCGAATACTCCAACTTGTTGAGGTTTCTGCTGGACACCAGGGCTACCACAGTCATACTCTAATGACTTAGGTAGGTCGACTGAGGCATCAGAAATAAATACCACTGAATCATAATTCTCCTGTGGCTGGGAAGACCTGTCATCGTACAAATGAACCACATCCACAGCAATTCCTTCATTGCCATCATCTACTTTCTTCACCGCGCCAGAAGAAAGTTCCAGCCTTGACGGATCCGGGAAACTGTGCCTGTGTATTGAGAGAACAAGCCAAACAAATGAATATGCAGGATTGTTGTCTGAATAAGGTACATGATGGTGAAGAACCAGGTGTGGTTATGTTACCTTTTAAGAAACCTGGATTCCTTGTGGGAGGTGACATGAGGTGAAGTGAAAATGGAGGGTAAGGATGAGAAACTAAGTGAATGGAATGTTTGAGTTATGTTGAGTGACTTGACTGGCTTGATTGGAGAGAGGCTGTTGATGTAGTTAAACACTGGGGATTCCTGCAACAATGGTAGTCAACACACAAAAAAGTACACAATTCAGGAACAAAACTTAGCAATCAAGAGTAGAATAATGACACCCGTTGAAATTTGAGAACTGAGATGTAGCACTGAGTTTGCTAGTTCTGCAGCAGCCACTTCAGTACTAATTTAGAAAGTGGGAAGAAAAAGGTGGGTTGATGTAGCTGGTTCGTAAATATCAACAAATATAGCTAGGTCAGAACGAGGACAAGATCTTAAGCAGGAAGCTGCTCTAACTCCAAAAATTCCTGCAGATGCAGAGACTCGAGCCTAAGAAGCGACCTAGATGACAATGCATTACATCAAACATCATAAATGCACAGGCAAACACAGACCTTGTGAGAAAGCACGAGTACCCAGAAGTGAGAAGTTAGGGAAAATGAAAAAGAGTGCTTAAACTCTGTAAACTTCACAACTTAATTAGAAGAGAGATCTACCCATTTTACAACCAAGGCATGGAACCCAGAATTAATCAACTAACACTCCAGATACCCAATTTGAGTGGAAGGTCAACCCTCGTCAACCAGCCAGATTTGGCCGGATTCCAGAGCCAAACTGAAAGAACCCAACAAAACCCAGAACCCCAATTCACTCACCTCGAACTTCGAGAGCGGAGAAGCAGCGATCTGGGTCTTCTGCGGCGTATCCATGGCGAGAGACAGAGTTGGAATGGAGAGGCAGGCTAACCCCTTACCCACATACGCAGAGTGAGTCCACTCACTCGCTCACTCACTCAGTCTCTGCTGCTTATTCTTCTTCTTCTTCTTCTTCTTCGGCAGCGAGCGACGACTACATCCGACTTCCTCAATCCATGAATCGAAGATGGGTTTTATGTGGGTTATCCTTTTTTGTCGGCTAGATGGGGGATGGATGGATGAGTTTTTTAAGGAAATGGGTGGAAGAGGGAAGGAATTGGAAGGCCGAAAGAGAAAGAGAAAAAGGGTAGATTCAAGCAGAAGCGGGAAGGCGGGAGAATTCCCTAATTTCTTTATCTCCAGCGTCGAGAGAAAATAGAAAACCCTATAAACCAAAGAAATTTCACTTCTGGCTTAGACCCACCACCACCAACGCTGTTACGAGCCGGCCCCGCCATTGTTGGTAATTGTTATTAGCCCCACCACAGCAACAACTTTCACCTTTCTCTCTTGTCTCTGCTCTGGCGGTGATAATAATTAATTATTGTATTAATTTTTCACCTCGCCATTGCCGTTCCCCTCTGCTGCTTCGTCTCCCCGTAAAAGAAAGAAAGAAAAATACAACTACCGCTTCCCAAAAATTGCTCACTTACTCTCTCTCTTCTCTGTGGTCTGGTCTGGTAGAAGAAAGGAAGGAGCTTTTACTTTTTCAAAAGTAACGGATTCTTGATTTTGGGAGGGATCTTCTCTTCTTTTTTCTTTTTTACTGCCCTTTGCTTTTCTCCATTTTTTTCCATTGTTGTTTGTTGGGTGGACAAAACAGAAACTCTTAAATATTCCACGTTTTGACCGCCAATGTTTCTAATGTTTGTTGTGGTGGTGGTGGTCGATGATACCATCTAAAAATAAGAAATTTTTTAGTTTTTAATTAATAGACCTACTTATTCTCAATAATTAGAAGTTACGCCAAGCAATTGAAATTTTGTAGTCTTAAAGTTTATACAAATCCATTATATCACGAGTGTAAATCAAGAATTTGATATGAGAAATAGTGAGGATTTCAATTTGTGACATCTTGACTATCGATTTGGGATATGAGCGGCAAAAGTTGTTCGGTTACAAAAAAGGTGTTTTGATTGATATTTTTTAAGAATGGGAATTTTTAATGCATGTTGAATTAAATCAGGGGGGTCAAACATGTTGAAATGGGGAGTGGAATTAACGAGAGCTTGATGGGAATTCGGTACAAATTATTGTTGTTATGGTGACAATTCATGACAATAAAGGAGCATGAATGCGTGATTATAATCGAGGATAAGAACAGAAATATAAACTTGCATTATACTGTGGTATATTGTTGTTGCCGTTAGGTCAAAAATATCAATCTTTTTGTTCGTCCGTTAGGCGGTAATTTACACATTGAATTTACAATTTAGTCAAATGATTACATTAAAATGGGTTTAGTGCAGCGTTAATAACCATTGATTATATGTATTTGACCGGGATCAGATGTAAGGGATGCTATTAATTTTTTTTCATTTTCAATCGATTTGTATATTCTTCGCTTTAACTTGAATTCTTTTTTTTTTTTTGCGCATATGAAATGGGTATTGTAATAAAATAAAAATGATATATGTTTTGAAGAATTCTTTTTCATACTATTTCACCAAGCTTAAAATTTGAAACAAATTTGCACAAAAAGAACAAGTTTTACAATCTTCACACTATAAATATTCATACCATTATGATACACTTTTATATTATCATATTATAATCTTATTTACTACCTAATATTATCCTTCATAGTAATCAGAGAAAAAGTTATGCATAAGAATACTAGATCAATTTAAGAAGGTTTCCGGGCTTAAGTCAAATCCTAGTAAGTGTGAAGTCTTGTTTGGTGGCCTTGAAATGGTAGAGAGGCAAGTTAGGGTTGCCAGATATGGATATAAACTTGGTGAATTCCCTGTTCGTTATCTAGGGGTTCCTCTGATTTTAGGGAAACTTAGCTTGTCTGTTTGTCAACCTCTTATTGATAAAATGGTAGCCAAAGTTAAAAGTTGGCAAACAAAAGCTCTTTCATATGCTGGCAGAATCGAGCTAGTTGGGACAGTCTTATATAGTCTTACTCAATTCTGGATGTCAGTATTTCTCTTGCCTAAATCTGTCGTTAAGGAAGTGGAAAGAATCTGCAGTAACTTCATATGGGGAGTTGGAGTGGGTTTGAAACTCAGAGCTAATGTAGTTTGGCAAAAGCTTACTTATCCTAAGAAAGAAGGTGGTCTAGGGTTTAGGGATTTGTGGAGTTAGAATCAGGCATGCATGACCAGACATATATGGCTGATTCTTTTGAAAGAAGGCTCGTTTTGGGTTGCTTGGATAAATAAGTACAAGTTGAAGGGTAGAGATCTCTGGAGCTACACATGCATATCTGGGTCCTGGAACTTGCACAAATTACTGAAGTTGAGGAGGGGGGGGGGACTGAAGCTTTCATTTCGTTCAAGGAGGGGGGGGGGGGGCTCCTTCTCCTAAATAACTCCCCTATGCCTTCATTCTATATCAAGCAGGTTTGGCAGCTTCTACGACCTGCTCAACAGACTGTAGAATGGTGAAAACTTGTTTGGAAGGCCAAGACTATTCCTCAAAATTGAGTTATCACCTGGCTTGTTATTAGAGTTAGCATAAACGCAAAGGTTAGGATGCAAAAGTAGGGATTTGGTGGAAGTATGGCTTGTTGTCTGTGTGATACATGGGTTGAAGACATGGACCATATTTATGTCCATTGTCCGTTCTCGAGACAAATCTTAGAATCTCTTTTTTGCATATTTATGCAGCTTCCTACGTTGCAGAGATGGGAGGATGTGCTGAATCTGATGGTTTCAAAACTTGGTGTGAAGACTGAGGCTACTGAAACAGGGAGGATCATTTGGCAGGCATGGGGGAGCCACATATGGAGGGAAATATGTCGTCGTTTGTACTCAGCTGAAAAGAAAGACTGTTGCACATTGCTGAAGTTGATTAAAGCTGAAGTTGAATGTCTGTTGGGTAATCATAGAGTTCGTCCATTCTGGGATATGTAACTATCAATTATATGTTTTAGTAGCTTTTGAGTTAGCAGGTTTTGTTGAACTGTCACTTGTGCTGTGATTAGCATTCACCTAGCTAGCAAGGTTTGTTGCTAGCACCTCTTTTTGATGAATGAAACCCACCGATTAATAAGAAAATAAAAAAAGTTATGCATGACCCATAAGTTGGTCACTGACTATAACTGTTACGGTTGAAGTGTTACATTCTCCTATAACTGTTACGGTTGAAGTGTTACATTCTCCTAGATAAATATAGAGATATTTCTTAAATATTGTATGGTTTCGACCGACTAAATCATGTGTTGTTGATTAACGAACCGTTGGTACAATTCGATAGCGAGCATTTTTTTCGCTAGTGTACTTTCCACGATAGCTCACATCACACTAATTCGATATATCTCCAACTAATACGATGTCACTGACATGATAATGTATTCGATTCGGCTCATCAATACAAACAAATAAAGATTGAGTGATGGACTTAAAGCGGACATAAACATTTCCACAGATTTATCTCATCATAAGCTGAACTCCTTTACGGGCGGACGTACGTTGATAATATTAAATACAAATTGCCAGCGGGACTCGTTTAACTATAACGCTGCAAATAATAACAGTAATAATGTTCGTCAAAATAATAACAGTAATAATGACGGTGGTGGTAACATGCATGCATGGGGGGAAATGAGAAGAGAAATCACCGCCACCGTAGCGGCGTAGAGTAGTTTGGGGGTATTTATTTTTGATCTGAAGAGGATTAAAAATCCCCAATGCAATGCAATTATGTGGGCGCATGAAAATCTCGTGACAATTTCCACCACCACCACAATCCGTGTCCCGTGAAATTAGTAAATAGCAGGATTTTATTTTAAATTAATGGGGTAGTGGAGAATGCAATGCAATGCGCTGTGTGACATTATTAGCAGTAAAACTCACATGACATCTACCGTTGGATGTTGGACTGGACTGGGGCCTGGTCTGGGCCAAATGTAATTATTATTTACTTGCTTTTATTGTGAAGACGTGGCAGCGAGGAGAGGCCGGGCCCTGGGCCCACAATACAAGCAGCCGGGTCCAGTCGTGTTCCTCCAAAGCCAGGGCCAAGGAAAGGAAGGAAGGAAAGAGCTGCCTCTCGTCGTGACGTGTCATGTCCCCACTGATATGGTGACATGGCGGCTTTCCGCCGAGAGTGACACCAAAGGTCTCAGTTTTGGCGCGCTCCCATATTTCAAAAGGTACAGGTTATCCCCCTTGGACCGAACCGAGTACACAGTCGAGTTGACCGATTTCTTATTTCATTCCCCCGATAATAAATATCTACGCATTTATAACGGGTCTTCGATTGTTAAGTTGGTGTATTGTGATTAATGCATGTATTATATTATACATGTATTGTTGAATTTGATGTATTGTAGATTACAACGTTTAGTATCTGTGCTTGTGTTTTCGATATGTTAGAAAGGAAAGTCACTTTTTAATGGAAATGTGGCTTGTACCCCTTCTTTTTTCATTGCAAAAGATAATTTCTAATACTTGTATTGTTTACAATTCATAAATATCAACGTTTGCAAACCTCAAGTAAAGATTGTGTAAACATCCATATAGACTCAAAATATATACATCTTGTAATAGTAGTTCGATTAAAGTTCACTAGAAATCTATACTTAAACAAATCTAATTTTTTTTATACAAGCTCATGTTTACTGAGAACCTCAAAACAACCATATCAATGATATTTTCCGATTACAAATCTTATATCGCACTCAACATGCAGTTGCAAAAGAAGATTGCACCAATGTAATGCACACTTGCAAAGATGCAAATTTTTATTTGATGAAATTCAAAATGCAAGTCACATATAAAAATAGAAAAATAATAATCTATTTTTCTCACTTTATTTAAATATTTTCATTAATAATAAACTAAATTTGACCCACCTTATATGCCATTACATGTGAATTACAATGATGTCGCCATATAGGTACAATGAAATTAATATAAATTCGATTACAAAATTATTGATGTCACAATTGAAATTACAATTGATTTTGCAATTGCTGTGAGCTCTTCTAACTTTTCAAAAATCCATATAATCAATGTAGTTAAAATCGCATTTTAAAACTTATAAACTTACGATTTTATGTTTCTAGGTCACTAAAACGCTTCAACACAAAATATCAGTTTTTATAACTTATGTAGTTAAAAACTCCGCTTTAAAATTTAAAAACATTTCTACTTAGAAACTCGCTTTTGACTACGTTGCATATAATAAAAAGTAGCATGAAAATTATTTTTTTCTTGTTCGATGATGGTTGAAAAATGATAGTGCCCTCATCATAGTTAGGTTAGGTCGATAGCAGGCATGACTTTAGTGGGCAGGCAGAGAGGTTAGC